GTCAGTTTCGAGTCTTGTCATTCTCAGCCTCCAGCAGCTGTCTCGTCAGATCCACATATTCCAACAGTGTCGAGTTCAGAGAGTGACTCTCCCCGTCCAGACCGCCACTCGCCCTGCACACAAAGGACAGGGGTCAGTGAATTCAAAGATGGAAGGTCCATGATTCTATTCTAGGATACTATATTCTATAACTACATGTGTATTTATATCTCTAGTTTGTAATGGTCTGTTCTGGCTTCCACTCACGTCTGACTGATGACACCAGCATCGGCCAGCAGCTCAAAGATCCGGACCAGCTGGACCCTCAGGATGTCACGACGCCTGCGACGCTTCATGTTCTGCATCAAGAGAGGAGAAGAGTCAGTACTGAGCAGGTAGTACGGTGTTTTGATGTTAGATAAATGAATGAGATGTGAGGGTCAGTGAGCTTCACCCACCTCGGGTCTCCTCTCCAGAGCCTCCTTAATGATGGGGTTCAGTTCCTCTATCAACTCTCTGGAAGACAGACTAGAAGTAAGGAAAACTACTGGGCAAACACTCATACACCCTCACTCATCACATACCGTGCCTACTAACCAAATAACCCCAAATCACACACAAACTAGGACATATTCAAACATGCAAATTTGAACACAGGCAACTCAAACATGACTCTCAGCCACAGACAGACGTACAGGGTGGCTCCCTCACCTGAAGGCCACGGGGTTGGTCCTGCCAAGCCCCAGGACGAGTGACTCTGTGATGTCCATGCTCTCAGAGCGCATCATCGGGACAACGTGTTTGAACAGGGATGAGGGGGACGGAGTGCCAATAATCTGGACACACATAAAGATAACAAATCAATATGACAATTCAAATGATTTTTCAATCTCTAACTAAAGGAAATAAATATAGTAAAAACACAGCATTTTCTCAACGTGGAATAGGCATTATTACATTGACAGCACCCATGTAAAACATACTGAGGAAAAAAGTGGATAGGTCATGCCCTCTGACCTTAGAGTCATAGCTGTAGCCGCTGTCCGGCGTGGACGCCAGCGTCTCAGGCGGGGAGCAGCGGACGGAGCCAGAGGTGGAGGAGGAGGAGTTAGGGGAGGAAGTGGCGGAGCTACAACAGAGGATCAGGTAGTTCCTCCACAGCCCCACGTACGAGTCACTGCTGCTGCTCAGGCTGTTCAGCTTCTTAGCATTTATAGGGCTGCTGCAGGGGCACAGGTCAAAGATTCATAACAGGCAGGTGGTATTAGACAGTCCCTCCAGGATTTCGCAGTGATTTTTATTTATTTTGCAGGCAAAAATACTTGATTTTATTTTACGCGAAAATTAGCTGCAAAGGGAAAACGTTTGTTGACGTGTGGCTTAATTGACCCATACTGTGCGGTGATTGGTTGAAATTGCGAGTCCTCTTTTTGCAATCGCGGAATCCTGGAAGGACTTATTAGAAAATCACATACAACGTACATACGCACACTAGAAAAGACAGGCAACAACTCTCATCCTCATATACAGCTGAGGGATCAATTAGGATGATGTAATCCACAGTCACACGCCGAGTCTCCAGTGTCGTCGTTAACCGTACGGTCACCATACACAAGACAGGGTGACATCATCCAGCACTCTAGTGAGCAGACTGCAACCACATCCATTCGAAGTGCCTTTTTACAACCTCAAATGTAACGTGCACATGCACCCATGAGAACCGCATTGACAGAGTAAGGCCTGGAGAGACGTACTTGATATCCACTTGTGGAGAGAGCAGCTGCAGGCGCGTATAGGCGAACATCCAGGCGTAGTTGAGTGCGGTGGGGCAGTGCTTGGGGAGGTGCTCCTGACGCAGGTAGCTGGACAGGCTGATGACCCAGGGGTCCTGGCCCTGCGTCACGTGGGCAAACACCCAGATGTGCGACGGGCTGACCACGTCAAACTGGTGGCTGATGGGAGACGAGCTCCATTCTGCCAGCGTCTGCAAGTCGATACCACTGGGGCAGTATAGCAGGTTGGTCTGCAGGGGAGAGGGGAGGAGAGGATGAGGGTCAGGGTGTTTGTACCATGTTGTGCTGCTGCCATGTTGTTGTCATGTGTTGCTACCATGTTGTGTTGTCATGTGTTGCTGTCATGTGTTGTCTTAGGTCTCTTTATGTAGTGTTCTGTCTCTCTTGTCGTGATGTGTGTTTTGTCCTACATTTTATTTTGAATCCCAGCCCCAATCCCAGCAGGTGGCCTTTTGCCTCTTGGTAGGCCGTCATTGTAAATACGAATTTGTTCTTAATTGACTTGCCTAGTTAAATAAAATCAAAAGTGAGTTACACAACAGCTTCGCCATTCTTACCTGGTCAGCTCCTGTGAGATGGATGAAGCTCTCCAGCACAGATGCACTTAGTCTGTCCATCACATCTATGGCCAACTCCTCGTCTCCCTTAAAGAGAAACAGGCAGAAACAGTTATAGTGAGTCTCTTGCATCTTACTTGAGGCTACTTTAGAAACACTGCATCTCATTATTTGAGTCACTTTCAGATCCCCGTCTGTCAGTCTGAGTTGGTAGTTACCTTGGTGATGCCCAGAGCGGTGTGCAGGGCTCTGACCTCTTTGAGGACATTAACAGCCAGCCTGCGGGTGGCGGGGCGACAGCTGCACAGCACCACCAGCGCCAGGCCCTCCACCACGTGCAACACCCCCCACAGAGGAGAGCGCTCAAAGGGGAGAGACGGCTTGCTGCCAGGGCCCTGCTGGAGCACCCACACACACAGAGACAGGGTTATATAAATCACACAAACCCAATTCAAAATATACAACAACCCTACTACTACAGTACAGAGCAAGTTCGCTATACACTCTCCACCCACCTGTGCCTCGTGGGTCTTGTTGCTGGTCTGGACGGCCTGCCTCCACTGGCTGATGAGCTGCAGAAGCATCTTGACGGCGTTGTCCAGCAGCGTGGGGTGGACATCGGTGACCTCGCGCACAATGAAGTAGACGAAGCCAGAGAGCACGTCCTCCCTCCACTCTGGGAAGTCCACCATTAGGGCCTGCAGGGTGGTGAAGGCCAGGCCACGCAGCTCCTCATCCATGTGGATGGTCAGCCTGGAGAAGAGAGGACTCAGGGGTCAGACAGAGGGCAAACAGGATCACAAACAGAGCTTTTGAAGGCACAGCTTTGGCAAAATAAAAGCCCCATTGCTTTGTTCATCAATTACTCCCAGACAGAGGTGGTACATGTGAAGGAGTGGGGTCCTTTACTTGGCCAGCAGCTCGATGAGGTCCTGTCTGCTCATGCCGTCTGGGATCAGTCTGGGGATGGCCGCCACACACGTACGGAACAGATCGATCTTTGGCTTCCTTTCCCCCCTGCAACACAACGCACCGTTTGCAAACAGGTAAATGACACATGCAGACGGACAGACACACACTTTATGGGCCACATATGTTAAGTCAAAGAGGCCCTTACGTGATCATATCCTCAGGCTCCTTATTGGACATCTGGACGTTGGTCATGCTCATGGAGCGCCCCACCTCCTTGTCCAGGTGACGCAGGATGTTGTCCAGGGCCTTTCTCACCGCTGGGTAGTACAGCGACATGCCTACAAACACACATATATTCATTACTCTGACACTATACACAAACTTGACCCTAAAATCACCCACTCCCATGAGCTTATTTATTTAAGAAATGTATTTGGCAGGGGACAGTGCACATTAAATCAACATTTCAGGTTCAACATCAATGTAAAATTGCCGGAGTTAGCAACAAAGCTAACTTTGGTCCATAGTCCCCGAGTCATAGCTGAGTCATACTGGCCTGTTGTGACCAGGGTGGAGCTTAGAGATGTTAACCTACCGATGACCTTGGCCTCCTCGTCAGTGAGGGTGGTGGCGAGGAAGATCTTTTTGACCCGCAGGGTGTTTCCTGAGGGCATGATGACCCCTGTGGTGGGCATGGGCGGCTCCCCGTCCTTCTGCTGCAGACTGTCAGCTATCACCAGGAAGGCCCTCAGGCCAATATTCATCCTCTGAGAGGGAGAGAGTGAGAGAGTGAGAGAGAGAGAGAGAGAGAGAGAGAGAGGGAGAGAGGCAGAAAGGGGCAGTCAGAGAATGAAGAGTAATCACAGTGAGTGTATGATTGGATAATTACTGTTGTCTCTCGGCCATCTCTTACCTCTGGATTGATGGTGAAGGTCTTGTGAGATTTCCCCACACACAGGAGGTCATAAATGATCTCCTTCATAGCAAAGTCAAGCCTTTCCTGTGAAATGAGCCACAATAAACCAATAACCACTATTCACAGATAACATAAAAGCCATTACCTGCGCTATAGCTGAATTATACAGGAATAACTACTCCAGCATGTCCTCATAAGACATACCTGAGCTATGAACTGGATGATCTTGACGAAGATGTTGAGGGGCGTGTCCCTTGGCACCACGCTACGGGAGCCTTTGGGGAAAAGTGCTGAAACAATGCTGAGCAGCCGGCTGCAGGAAACAGGAGAAGATTAAAGGGTTAAACTGGGAAGTTCACCACGGAGACTGTAAATTAGACCAGTTCTGAGTGTAGATGGGATTCTAGTTCTGGTTCGGCAGAAGGAGTGGGCACTTGTTTGTTCTAATATGGTGATTTAGGTGCTGTTCTGGATGACTTTCATTTGACAGTGTCCGTACACACAGAGATAGTGTGGTGTGGGCCTACAGTGTGATAGGGTGGGCCCTGACCTGTCTCAGTCTCTGGCCGGGCTGGTACTGACCTCTGTGTGACGGTGTTGCTCTCACACTTGATCCTGATGATGTAGACCCACAGCAGTCTGTAGAGCGACTCCAGCGCCACACGGGACATTTTGGGATCTTTGTTCTAAAGGGTCAGAGAGAGAACATTCAGAACACCTGCCTCCTCCTGAAGTCTGGTGTGGGGCGTGCCACATAAAGAGGGATCTGACACACAAACCATCAATTTGACCTACTGTACTGAATGAGACAATTTATATGTCTCATTTATAGAAATGCTTGAGATGCCCCAGTGATGGATATGACTCACAGCAAGTCTATCTGTGATTTGATAATGAGTCTGCTTCAGATCTAACGGTCTGTCAGATTAATACGATTGGTACACACCAATTACATTTATGAATCATCTTTAATAAACTACTGATGTACAAGATTCTTGAAATTATTTCAACTTGTCGTAAAATAAATCGGTTCCAGAGTGAGCCGGTCTATATATAGATGTAGTACAGCATGTTATGCTAGCGGTAGTTTGATGTTCCAACCGCCGGGGAATGTTTAGAAAGCTGAGCGTTCACAAAAAAACAGTGACTAAAAATGCAATTCCACAGTGCTGCCCATCAAATCCGAACACGCAACATACCCTCCAATATCAACACAGCGGACAACCATACAAAGGATTCTTTCAAGGGTACTAAAATGACCTTTCCACCCTTCAGTGGGCCACGGAGCTGCAAGGGTGCAGCACACAGCCGCATGTCAACACCACAGAGATAATAGAATTGGGTGTAACTAGAGACAGCCTCTCACAAACGCTAAAGAACACACAAAACGCTGCAGAACTCTATGGTCTCCAAACCGAGACTACAAAATCCATCTGGTTAGTCCTCAGATCTACCAACAACCCCTTCCAGGTAACTGGCTTCATAATACCCCTCAAAGATGAAGGTAGGTCTCTGAGAATGTGTGTTAGCAACACATTGGCATGATGCAGTCCGCTCTATTGACATCACCAGCATGATGCTCTAACCACTACTATACACACAAAACAGCAAAGCCCATAAACCACTGAAAAAGCACAAGCCAAAATTGCATTTCAAATCAATTTGCGACTAACAGCCAAGTGTCCAACCACTATTTCCTGTGTAATCTTTTCTCCCAATAAGTTACACTTTAAGAGGACTATCAGTCTCCAGCGCATTGTTTCCCCTGGCTAAGGAGGTGCATCCCCACTGTCCTCCAGAGGCTCAGGACAGGGTCAGATGACCTCTCGGAGGGGGGTCATGCCACCATACGGACACCAGACAAACTCACCTGCAGTGTCTCAATCTGCTTTCGGATGCTGTTGTTAGACGGCATCTGGAGCGAGTGAAAACATGAGACAAAACGACAGGAGACACGGCGTGTGAGGATGTGGGGAGGGAGACATGCAGGTTAGAAAGAGAACAGCGCAACAAAATATAATAGAAAAAAAAAAAAGGTTTGACTAAAAACCTTCACTACCATCTGCCTTCTATCGACTTGAGTCAGTCTCATATTAGACACATAAATGAGATGCAAAGTATGAAATGCAAAAGCAGTAATATGATACAAACATCCATCAATAATGTTGTATAGAAAGACTGCAATGATACACTATATAGCCAATACTAAATTGTTCTTATATTTCAAACTTTGTGAAAGTGAAAAGAGATGAAAGATGTGCAAATCAAATTGACAGGGAAGGGAAGAGAAAAGGCACACACAAAGCAGGGGTGAAGCTAGTGAGAAGTAGGTGTGGATAGATAGCGTGAGGAGAGAGACAGTAAATGGACACCAGGTAGGAAAACAAGCCGTATGTTACGACTACATCGCCCACAATCCACTAGGCTCAGAAAAATCTGAGAGCCTCCTATTCCATCATCAGTCTGATACACTGTCCAAAAGGTATCGTTTTAACCCCATTGATTCTTGCTCTCCAAAACAAGATAAGGCACTAAACTGAATCAATCTGAATCAGCATTTGAACTTAAGTGATCATCTGAGAACAAGGACAGGGTTAAAATGGCCTAGTGGACAATCGGAGCTAAATCACCACGCATTCCTAAACAAATCGCCACCAGAGACTCAAGGTTCCACCACAAAAACAAGGGAGATTACATCAGCACCAAATGGGCTAATCTAAATCACCAGGTTAAGTAAAACTATGTAATCAAAGAGAATCTAATCTTTCACAGAAAATTAAAAGCAACTGAATCACCACCTGACTGTGATTATAGAGAGTCAGTTCAACAACGGAGTCATCAGGAGCAAAGAGAATTATAGCACGTGTCCACCATGGAATCAGAGGGAATTCAATCGCCATAACTATTCAGAGTTGAGAAGCGAGGAGACAGTCACACAACACAGTGCATCTGGGCTGGATTAGCTTGAGGTATGGTACAGGAGAGGAGCATGATTGATTGGCTTGATCGGTTTGGAGGGGGTTGTCGGACAGGGGAGGAGGAAGATATGATCATTAAGGCACACCCTTCAACCCTAAAACACCTCAGATCCAGTTCTGATGTGCAGGGGATATCTAACATCTCACTATGACAATTAACAACTTACCTGGGCTAAAGAACATTCTGCTAGAGCAATAAGGTTTCAGTCATGGTAACAGTAATAAATGATAGAACTTAGTATGCAATAAACATCTTACTTGAACATTACCAAATTAGGTTCATAGCACTTAATACTGCCAAAGGGACCGGGGATAATCTATTTTCATTATACAGTCTTTAGAAAATGACACTCAATGACATGTCCCATTGAACTTCAAACATTAGGGAATCCACTGTCTTTAAAGATAAAACAGAAAGTGTCCTATTAAATGTGAAATTGCCATGGAAGTCCGCATTTCTTTTCAGACAGTCCTTTATAGGCCAGTAACTCTGTGTTAGGTAAATGCTTAAGGTGATTGTGTTGTGTACCTTCAGGTGCGAGAGGCAGTTTGTGAGGAAGATGTGCCAGTTATTGAGGAAGAACTGCTTCTGACTGACACACAGCAGGCACGTCACCAGAGGATAGAGAGCCTGAAAGAGAGAGAGAACACACAACCACAGAAGAGAGGGAGGGAATGGGGAAAGAGGGAGATGATAGTGTGAGAAGATTAAGAGTTAACAAGTTGACGTAATTAAAAAAGAGAGCGGGAGAAGAGAGAAGTGGGAGGGAAGGCCGAGATGATATTGTGAGAAAAGAGTTGACGTTACCAAAGAGTGCTTCTTTCTGGAGCTAAGGTCAAAGGTTGTCTGGTAGAGTATCTCCACAAAGTTCTTGAGGCACGGCACGTTGACTTCATTCTTCACCGCCTGCAGGGAGGGAGTGAGGAAGGCGTCACCACAGCTCATTCAATCAATATGTGTGACCGAAATGGTACCCTATTCCCTATATAGTGCACTACTTTTCACCCGGGCCCATATATAGGGAATAGGGTTCCATTTCAGATGCAGCCAATGACATTACAGCCAATCTAATGTGCTTTCTATCGTAACAAACACAGTGGAATTTATATTTTACAGAAAGGCACTATGCTACTAATAACCATACTGTGGAATGTGGGGTTTTCCCATGTTTTGTATTATGTTGTCTGGTTGGTACTCACAGCAGCAACAGGGATGAGGATCTCAACGAAGAGGCCAGCCAACGCATGCTTTATGTCCTTATCCTTCACCTCCAGGAAATACTGGGCACACTCCTGAGGAACGCAGAGCCATACCAACATGGATGAGGACAAACAGAGTGACAGATCCATAAACCCAATAGACAAATATAAAACCAAGACTGTGCAACAGATTCTCGCATATGGGCAGACACCAACAGACGTAAGGAAATGTGGTGGCACCAATAAACCACTGCATATTACCCAACATGTTCCACTAACACGCTGGGAAGAGGGGAACATATTGAGCAGGCTTTTTACTGCCGTATTGAGCTTAACGAAAAGGCATTGCTCCGTTCAGTGCTCTTGGCTGGGCCTACAACGCACACACTCCTCTTGGCACAGTGATCCGCTATCTGATCGTTACTCTGGCTTTATGAGGCTCTGCTACAGAGAGCTGCTGAGTCCCAACAAAAGGGTTGCAGTAAAAACTCTAATGGGTGTAGTTCAGCAGAGAGCCATCAGTCCACCATACGCAGCCACTCGGACACAATCAGACATACAGTACTGTACAATCTGGGCATCTAATAGATTAGATCAACACCTGTTGCTTGGACACATCAGGGTTGAATTGACTAAAACTGACATTTTGAAATGGGGAAGGAATACCTGAACTTGTCCAATGAGGAACGCTTATTTTCTTGGTACGGTTTGCTAAGGTGTGCTCTAATGAATACGACCCAGGAAACTGACCTGCATGAACTGGAAGGAGGCCTCAAAGTCCTCCACGGGGTACATCTTGACCCTGAAGAACTTCATGCCCATGATGAGGCTGATGATGCTCTGGACCACGTAGGGGCTCTGCTCCTTCTGCCTCAGCTCCTTCAGCTCCGTGATGAACTTCTTACGCACCGCCTGGAACCTGGAGCGACAAACACACGTTACACTGATTTAGTGTCTCACTCAGCATCTGATTCAACAGACTGAGTCTTTCATAAGGAGTTGGCTCATTTTTAACATCTAGTTTAGGAGTAACATATGAATAAAACAGGAGTGACCTGTTCAGTTATTTCAACTGTATTGAGAGGACTTGAACGCTTACTTTGACTGTGTGAGCACTCCGATGACCTCAGCATACAGGTCTGCTATGATGTGCACATTGCCAGTGTTGGGGCCAGGGTACCTGTCAATCAGAACATATCCATTATCCACCCACACAAAGAGAAGTAGCTCTCATAATATTTTAACATGGGTGTATGAAGACACTGACCCATAAACAGACCGGTTAGGAGCAGCTGAACAAACAAAACTATTAAAGGAAATATCATCCCAACGATGTGTGCGAAAAGTTAAGGACGATCAAACACCCATCTCTCTAAAACCAGAGGCATGTGGCTGTATACTGTAGGGTTGAAACAGTTGTGACGGGTTACTCAACTTGTCTAACAAGTGGTGATTGTGTTTTCTTTAAGAGACATTAATGATTTGGACAGACCATAAAGTCACACAAACTGGTTATAAAAAAAAACAGTTTATCCAAACCCCCATAAAGTCACACACACTGGTTATAAAGAAAAAACAGTTTATCCAAACCCCCATAAAGTCATGAGTGACTCCGCTGCAGAGCCAAAACCACTCAGGAATATTACAGTGGGGGAAAAAAGTATTTAGTCAGCCACCAATTGTGCAAGTTCTCCCACTTAAAAAGATGAGAGAGGCCTGTAATTTTCATCATAGGTACACGTCAACTATGACAGACAAAATTAGAAGAAAAAAATCCAGAAAATCACATTGTAGGATTTTTAATGATTTTATTTGCAAATTATGGTGGAAATAAGTATTTGGTCAATAACAAAAGTTTCTCAATACTTTGTTATATACATTTACATTTAAGTCATTTAGCAGACGCTCTTATCCAGAGCGACTTACAGGAGCAATTAGGGTTAAGTGCCTTGCTCAAGGGCACATTAACGTCATTTAGCAGACGCTCTTAGCCAGAGCGACTCGCAAATTGGTGCGTTCACCCTATAGCCAGTGGGATAAGCACTTTACAATTTGGGGGGGGGGGGGGGGGGTTAGAAGGAACACTTTATCCTATCCTATCCCTATATACCCTTTGTTGGCAATGACACAGGTCAAATGTTTTCTGTAAGTCTTCACAAGGTTTTCACACACTGTTGCTGGTATTTTGGCCCATTCCTCCATGCAGATCTCCTCTAAAGCAGTGATGTTTTGGGGCTGTCGCTGGGCAACACGGACTTTCAACTCCCTCCAAAGATTTTCTATGGGGTTGAGATCTGGAGACTGGCTAGGCCACTCCAGGACCTTGAAATGCTTCTTACGAAGCCACTCCTTCGTTGCCCGGGCGGTGTGTTTGGGATCATTGTCATGCTGAAAGACCCAGCCACGTTTCATCTTCAATGCTCTTGCTGATGGAAGGAGGTTTTCACTCAAAATCTCACGATACATGGCCCCGTTCATTCTTTCCTTTACACGGATCAGTCGTCCTGGTCCCTTTGCAGAAAAACAGCCCCAAAGCATGATGTTTCCACCCCCATGCTTCACAGTAGGTATGGTGTTCTTTGGATGCAACTCAGTATTCTTTGTCCTCCAAACACGACGAGTTGAGTTTTTACCAAACATTTCTATTTTGGTTTCATCTGACCATATGACATTCTCCCAATCCTCTTCTGGATCATCCAAATGCACTCTAGCAAACTTCAGACGGGCCTGGACATGTACTGGCTTAAGCAGGGGGACACGTCTTGCACTGCAGGATTTGAGTCCCTGGCGGCGTAGTGTGTTACTGATGGTAGGCTTAGTTACTTTGGTCCCAGCTCTCTGCAGGTCATTCACTAGGTCCCCCCGTGTGGTTCTGGGATTTTTGCTCACCGTTCTTGTGATCATTTTGACCCCATGGGGTGAGATCTTGCGTGGAGCCCCAGATCGAGGGAGATTATCAGTGGTCTTGTATGTCTTCCATTTCCTAATAATTGCTCCCACAGTTGATTTCTTCAAACCAAGCTGTTTACCTATTGCAGATTCAGTCTTCCCAGCCTGGTGCAGGTCTACAATTTTGTTTCTGGTGTCCTTTGACAGCTCTTTGGTCTTGGCCATAGTGGAGTTTGGAGTGTGACTGTTTGAGGTTGTGGACAGGTGTCTTTTATACTGATAACAAGTTCAAACAGGTGCCATTAATACAGGTAACGAGTGGAGGACAGAGAAGCCTCTTAAAGAAGAAGTTACAGGTCTGTGAGAGCCAGAAATCTTGCTTGTTTGTAGGTGACCAAATACTTATTTTCCACCATAATTTGCAAATAAATTCATAAAAAAATCCTACAATGTGATTTTCTGGATTTTTTTTCCTCAATTTGTCTGTCATAGTTGACGTGTACCTATGATGAAAATTACAGGCCTCTCATCTTTTTAAGTGGGAGAACTTGCACAATTGGTGGCTGACTAAATACTTTTTTCCCCCACTGTATGTGTGCTGGACTTCGACAACTGTATATAGCCCTCAAACTCAACTGTGGACCTCGAAGCCAGTTCCGCTGTGTTTTGTCATTGTTCCCTTCTAATAAGGGACTGATTTAGACCTGGGACACCAGGTGTGTGCAATTAATTATCAGGTAGAACAGAAAACCAGCAGGCTCCGGACCTCGTAGGGGAAGAGTGAATACCGCTGGTATATAGTATGTGTATTAATGGGTGCCGGTGTCATATTTTGAGAGCGAGTATAAACAGCAGTGTGTGTCAGACCTAGGCAGAAAATTGCTGTATTTGGTAGTTTACTTGAAAATACCAACTTTTCAAATACTCGAGGGAATGTAGTTTATATAGAGTTACAACTAAAAGGCAACAATTTTCTTTGATATTCAAATACAGGTCTCAGAAAACAAATAATATTTTAAACTATTTTGAATACCTCTCAGAAAACTAAATAAATATTTGAAGGATTTTAACATATGCAAGTTATTTGAAAACCAAAAAATATTTGATGGCTGCCAAATATTTGATGAAGAATCCAAAAACTGCAAGTTAGTTGAATTAGTCTAAATATATAAATCATAGGCACATGGTTTGGAGGGCTCTTAGATATGAATGTTAATATAGCTGACAGCCTAGAATGAAAATCGAGGGACACGGAATCACCTCAACATTAGAGTAGACCACTTTTGCAGCTTCAAAATGACTAACAAATATATTTTTATAATGAGTGAGACAAGGTAATGAAGTAACACTTGACATCAAGTTCTTATACATGTGTAACTTTGTGATTTTTACAATAGCAACAATGTTGCATAAAGTTGTTACATTGTTGTTACATAATTGCATAATAATGGAGTTATTACATGGAATAAGGAACAGTCACTTGATAGTATTCCAGGGCACATTCTCACAGCTGTCAGGTATGTTAACGCTACAGTGCCTTGCAAAAGTATTCATCCCCCTTGGTGTTTTTCCTATTTGGTTGCATTACAACCTGTAATTTAAATGGATTTTTATTTGGATTTCATGTAATGGACATACACAAAATAGTCCAAATTGGTGAAGTGAATTTTTTTTACTTCTTTCAAAAAATGCAAAACAATAAATAACAGAAAAGTGGTGCGTGCAGATGTATTCACCCCCTTTGCTATGAAGCCCCTAAATAAGATCTAGCGCAACCAATTACCTTCAGAAGTCACATAGTTAGTTAAATAAAGTCCACCTGTGTGCAATCTAAGTGTCACATGATCGGTCACATGATCTCAGTATATATACAGTGGTGTGAAAAAGTGTTTGCCCCCTTCCTGATTTCTTATTTGTTTGCATGTTTGTCACACTTAAATGTTTCAGATCAAACAAATTTAAATATTAGTCAAAGATAACACAAGTAAACACAAAATGCAGTTTTGAAATGAAGGTTATTATTATTATTATTATTATTATTATTATTATTAAGGGAAAACAAAATCCAAACCCACATGGCCCTGTGTGAAAAAGTGATTGCCCCCTACAACCTAATAACTGGTTGGGCCACCCTTAGCAGCAACAACTGCAATCAAGCGTTTGCGATAACTTGCAATGAGTCTTTTACAGCACTGTGGAGGAATTTTGGCCCACTCATCTTTGCAGAATTGTTGTAATTCAGCCACATTGGAGGGTTTTCGAGCATGAACTGCCTTTTTAAGGTCATGCCACAGCATCTCAATAGGATTCAGGTCAGGACTTTGACTAGGCCACTCCAAAGTCTTCATTTTGTTTTTCTTCAGCCATTCAGAGGTGGACTTGCTGGTGTGTTTTGGATCATTGTCCTGCTGCAGAACCCAAGTTCGCTTCAGCTTGAGGTCACAAACAGATGGCCGGACATTCTCCTTCAGGATTTTTTGGTAGACAGCAGAATTCATGGTTCCATTTATCACAGCAAGTCTTCCAGGTCCTGAAGCAGCAAAACAGGTCCAGACCATCACACTACCACCACCCTATTTTACTGTTGGTGTGATGTTCTTTTTCTGAAATGCGGTGTTACTTTTACACCAGATTTAATGGGACACACACCTTCCAAAAAGTTCAACTTTTGTCTCGTCAGTCCACAGAGTATTTTCCCAAAGGTCTTGGGGATCATCAAGATGTTTTCTGGCAAAAATGAGACGAGCCTTAATGTTCTTTTTGCTCAGCAGTGGTTTTTGTCTTGGAACTCTGCCATGCAGGCCATTTTTGCCCAGTCTCTTATGGTGGAGTCATGAACACTGACCTTAACTGAGGTAAGTGAGGCCTGCAGCTCTTTGGATGTTGTTGAGGGGTCTTTTGTGACCTCTTGGATGAGTCGTCGCTTCGCACTTGGGGTAATTTTGGTCGACCGGTCACCCCTGGGAAGGTTCACCACTGTTCCATGTTTTCGCCATTTGTGGATAATGGCTCTCACTGTGGTTCGCTGGAGTCCCAAAGCTTTAGAAATGGCTTTATAACCTTTTCCAGACTGATGGATCTCAATTACTTTCTTTCTCATTTGTTCCTGAATTTCTTTGGATCTCGGCATGATGTCTAGCTTCTGAGGATCTTTTGGTCTACTTCACTTTGTCAGGCAGGTCCTATTTAAGTGATTCCTTGATTGAGAACAGATGTGGCAGTAATCAGGCCTGGGTGTGGCTAGAGGAATTGAACTCCGGTGTGATAAACCACAGTTGAGTTGTGTTATAACAGGGGGGGCAAACACTTTTTCACACAGGGCCATGTAGGTTTGGATTTTGTTTTCCCTTAATAATAACCTTTTCAAAACTGCATTTTGTGTTATCTTTGACTAATATTTAAATTTGTTTGATGATCTGAAACATTTAAGTGTGACAAACATGCAAACAAATAACAAATCAGGAAGGGGGCAAACACTTTTTCACACCACTGTACAACTGTTCTGAAAGGCCCCAGAGTCTGCAACACCACTAAGCAAGTGGCACCACCAAGCAAGCGGCACCATGAAGACCAAGGAGCTCTCCAAACAGGTCAGGGACAAAGCTGTGGAGAAGTACAGATCAGGGTTGGGATATAAAAAAATATCAGAAACTTTGAACATCCCACGGAGCACCATTAAATCCATTATAAAAAAATGGAAAGAATATGGCACAACAACAAACCTGCCAAGAGAGGGCTGCCCACCAATACTCACGGACCAGGCAAGGAGGGCATTAATCAGAAAGGCAACAAAGAGACCAAAGATAACCCTGAAGGAGCTGCAAAGCTCCACAGCGGAGATTGGAGTATCTGTCCATAGGACCACTTTAAGCCGTACACTCCACAGAGCTGGGCTTTACGGAAGAGTGGCCAGAAAAAAGCCATTGCTTAAAGAAACAAATAAGCAAACATGTTTGGTGTTCGCCAAAAGGCATGTGGGAGACTCCCCAAACATATGGAAGAAGGTACTCTGGTCAGATGAGACTAAAATTGAGCTTTTTGGCCATCAAGGAAAACACTATGTCTGGAGCAAACCCAACACCTCTCATCACCCCGAGAACACCGATGTTTTTCCATCGGCAGGGACTGGGAAACTGGTCAAAATTGAAGGAATGATGGATGGCACGAAATACAGGGAAATTCTTGAGGGAAACCTGTTTCAGTCTTCCAGAGAATTGAGACTGGAACGGAGGTTCACCTTCCAGCAGGACAATGACCCTAAGCATACTGCTAAAGCAACACTTGAGTGGTTTAAGGGGAAACATTTAAATGTCTTGGAATGGCCTAGTCAAAGCCCAGACCTCAATCCAATTGAGAATCTGTGGTATGACTTAAAGATTGCTGTACACCAGCGGAACCCATCCAACTTAAAGCTGGAGTAGGCACACCCCTATCCACATCGACAGGGCAGCAGTGAAGCGGGTCGAGAACATCAAGTTCCTCAGTGTCCAAATCACTAAGAAGTTAATATGGTCCACACACACGTGCACAGTTGTGAAGGTGCGACAGCGCCTCTTCCCCCCTCAGGAGGTTGAAAAGGTTTGGCATGGGCCCTCAAATACTCAAAATGGGACAGCCCATTAAATCACTGAGTAGGCGTGTCCAAACTTTTGACTGGTACTGTGTATGTATGTAGAGTCCGTTCCAGTACCATATTTACAACGTGCAGGGATACCGGATCGATAGAGGTAGATATGTATAGTTGTAAGGTGACTAGGCATCAGGATTAATGATAAACAGTAGCAGCAGCGTATGATGATTGAGTGTGTGTACCAAAGTATTATGTAACATGCTAATAAAATGTTGCTCCAAAAGTAATTACAGTTTTATTACACAGGCACAAGAACAGTTTAACATTAAGAGTTATGGAGAACGCTAACAGTAATAAAATATGGCTATTAAGTGTCAAAATGGCCTTCTTGAATCAACTACAGCCAAGGTAGGTGGAAAATCATGTTACTTTGTAGTCTGAGTAAACTATCCCTTTGAAGATGGTAAAGTGTGTTTGTTTGAAACAAGAACACTTACCCTCGGCTGGACAGAGGTTCAAAGTTGTTTTTGCTAAGCATCCAACTTTCTGTTTGCAAATGGCTTTGAATTACTCTACAGTATTTTCAGGTATCATAAAATTAATTGCAGCTTTCAACCTTTTCAGCGGCACGTTGAAAGAGTCAAAAAATAGTTGAGCGTCACAACTTATTTATACTTATCAAATATAATTGGTTTGACTTGATAATGTAAACCTGGGGCAATGGACATCCAGGAGAATGGACATTTACTGAATTTCCAGATAGAAATGTATTTATTGATAAAATATGACTGTCTGATAGATTGGAATCATATATGAGATTGTGTGTGCTTAAATCATTATATTTCTATCTTCAACATACAGTTCCAGATACAGCTCTGCCATTAGCTGAAGGTAGCCAATCCAATAGTTTCTGAAGAGTAGTCACTTCCTGAGATCTGTTTTCAAAGATTTTTTTTTAAGTACTTGCTTTCTCAGATCTGTATTCAAATAGTTGTAGTCACTTCCTAAGTAACTATTTATTCCCCTGAATTTTTCACAAAGCATAGTTAAAACAATAGTTATCCCAGGTCTGGTTGTGTGTGTGTCTTTTACACTTACCCCTCTTTGTGTTTAAAGTGCTTGAATGCCAGGTTCAGAACCTCATGTACTAAAGAGTCTGGCACGGGATGAAGAGGAATCTGTGACGCAAACATTAGATCATCAGTCATAATAGGCACATTGATACTCCCTTCATGCTGTCGCTCTCTCTTTCTTTGCTAACATTCATTATCCTCCCTGTTGGAGCCAAGGACAACCAAGCACTGTGCTCAGTCAGGGTCTAAGAGTGTGTGATTTGGATCTGCTTAGTCTGCTGTCGGTCTAGATGATGTAGTTTAGGATGACAGCTCGGTATGCCTTGGTATGCTGACGTTGCAGTGACTACACTAAGGGAGAGGACTCTTCTAACAGCACAGACAAACAAACAGAAGTAACGTTAAACAGGACTTACCTGTTTTAAAACTTCTACTGAAACTAAACAGAATATGAAATCTATGGCTAAGTCCCTCCGCTCCAATAGGAAGTCTTTATCCCGATGCTGTTCATCCCTATGGGGGGGGGTGAGAGATCGAGAGAGAGAGATGGTGGCGAGAGAAAGAGGGGAAAGAGTTATGACGGACTGAATAACACATTTACCAGAAACCATTAGAGGTGGATTGTTCAGGAGCGGGAAGTGAGGGGAGGATAGGAGAGAAGGAGGAGCAGATAACAGGAGTATCGTACCCTTTGGACTTGGTGCTGGAGCGAGGCCTGTACTCATAGGACTCATCCTCGGTGCCACTCTGCCGCCGGTACCAGTCAAACAGTGTGCGCAGCAGGGAGGGCAAACAGTGTTCCGCTACGGAGCTCATAGAGCTTATTAACTGTGAGAAGAGCACACAGACACCTCACAATAGAGTCTACACACATTATTATAGCTTATCAGAGGATGAGAATGTACAAAAATGTCAAATACAAACATCTTCATAACCAATATTACACACATCATTACACACAGAACATACACACAGACAGAGGTGCTATATTTTATGTAGACAGACCATTCTACCACCACAGAGAAAAGGAGGAGAAAGGAGGATGCAGGGAAAGGGATACAGGGGAATATCTAGAAAGAGAGAAGTGGAGGGAGGTTGAGGGGAGAGGAGATGACCTAATCACTGGGTGACATACAGTAGAGAACAGGAAGTATCGATTGTGAGTGCGGTGTTGGATGACGTGTCGGGCACCGAGGTCCTATCCTATTGAGCGGCTAGCGTTACAGCCGCCACAGCAAAAGGCTCTGCAGTGGCTGTACAGTGAGTACGTCAGGGCCGACCAACAAACAGGCTCTGCAGTGGCTGTACAGTGAGTACGTCAGGGCCGACCAACAAACAGGCTCTGCAGTGGCTGTACAGTGAGTACGTCAGGGCCGACCAACAAACAGGCTCTGCAGTGGCTGTACAGTGAGTACGTCAGGGCCGACCAACAAACAGGCTCTGCAGTGGCTGTACAGTGAGTACGTCAGGGCCGACCAACAAACAGGCTCTGCAGTGGCTGTACAGTGAGTACGTCAGGGCCGACCAACAAACAGGCTCTGCAGTGGCTGTACAGTGAGTACGTCAGGGCCGACCAACAAACAGGCTCTGCAGTGGCTGTACAGTGAGTACGTCAGGGCCGACCAACAAACAGGCTCTGCAGTGGCTGTACAGTGAGTACGTCAGGGCCGACCAACAAACAGGCTCTGCAGTGGCTGTACAGTGAGTACGTCAGGGCCGACCAACAAACAGGCTCTGCAGTGGCTGTACAGTGAGTACGTCAGGGCCGACCAACAAACAGGCTCTGGTTTAAACACCTCCTCAGCACTTTGATCATCAGATCAAATATGTTAATGAATGGAGGTGAATTGCAACCTCATACTATGAATCTTTTATCAACATCTTTGTAGACTGAAAATGGTAGGGGTATATTTCCATAATGCTAGTAAGAAATGTGGTTTACAGTACATTATCCTCAGTTGTTCTTCTACAACATGCACCAGAGCAATCATAGTCCTACGCATGTCAAGTGTATAGTGTTCAGTCAGGTAATTTGCAGTTGGGCTGAGTAATAGTACCCTTCTGCACAATGAATGGAATGTGCCTGAATTAAGTGTATGTGTGTGTCAGTGTATGTTGTGAGGGGCAGTGCAGTGTGCTGAGGGTGCTGGGTGATGGATGCTGGGAGGGAGAGTTATGCAACTGCTCTCTGTGCCCTCCAGGCACCAGGCGGACACACTCCAGCACCCAACACCGATTTACTGCTAAGGATGACACAGCGATTTTGCTCCCTCTCCCTCACGCAAACAATGGAGGCATCTGGATCTATAGCACCATATCCTCATTGGCTTTGTGTTGTGCTGAACAAAGCACTCTGCAGCAGCTCCATTGTTCAGAGTTCTGCAGGCACCAGTTAGAGATGAGGGATGGATGGGGCATTGAGTGGGGATTGATTGGGTGGAGCTGGAGAATTCAACTACTGTATGGATGGGAGGGTGGGGGAGGGGTTATGGGCTAGAGGTGAGGGAGAGAGTCCATAATGCATGTGCAGTGTGTAAGCACGCACACACACACACACACACACACACACACACACACACACACACACAAACTAGAACTCACCTGATCAAATTGTGCATCTTCCCCTCTTTGGAGGGATCGGGACAAGGGTTTCTCCTGAAGGAGAGAAGGATGGCTGTCAGTCAAGTTCACAAAGGACAAATATGGATTCCTAACATAATAGGACTCCTATGTCACTCATATCAGCACACCACTGGATGTGGGGCAAGGTGAAACAGGAGAGGAGACAATGGGTCTATATAGAGCATAGTAATTGACAGTGAACGAGATCTGCCATCAGCCTGGGGTCATTACCAGCCCCTGAGTAAACAGTCAGTCAGGAGTATCTACAGGCTGACCACTGGACAAACACACCAGCCAGGGAGAGAGAATGAAGGGGTGAGAGAGAGGGAGGGGAGATGGCAGCAGAAAGAGGGGAGCACTCAGGTAAATGAATAGTGAGATGAATAGAGAGCTAAATGGAGAGAACGGTCAAGTGTCCAAAACACACACACCTCCCAGCCTCTAGGTAAGGCAGGGGATTGTACCTCCCACGGAGTCTTGGTATCCGGGTAAAAAAAAGCTCACAAGATTCCTAGAAAAATAATATGCCCCCCATTCTGGGAAAGCGCAATGGAATGCATGTGCCTCATTTCTCACACTCTCTAGGCGTTCACACCCACAGCAAGAAATCACACACATAAACCCCTCCAAGTTAAAGGATATGTCTGTTTACAGACTGAACACTAAGCAGTCACTAGAAACATTTGACCATTTGGCCATTAGCCAAGTACTGCTCTGTAGCCGGAACTAAGAACTAAGGACACAGCCTGATTAATGGCTAGTGAGAATAGCCTTCAAAGTTTTGCTTAATTCCAAATAAACTGTTAGGCTAGCCCCCACAAATAGGGGAACTTTATGTAGATCTGAAAGGTAAAAGCATAGGGTAATATTGGTCAGAATATTGCTTCACCTATTCAACACTTTCAGACAAGTGCCTAGGATTCAGGGCTAGGGGTTGATTTGAGATGTGGCCTTACTTGAGCCCCCCCTCCCTCTCGGATCACAGCAACTCACCAGCGGTTCGGCCATCACCACCTCAATCTTCTTCTCAGCCAGCACAGCAAACTCAGCGAACAGGCTCTTGATGACAAACTCCCCGGGCTTGAGCTCGGGGTCGATAGTGATGCTCGACATGGCGGCGGCGTTGCGCTTCTCCCACGACAGGGGGGCCACGGAGGGGGTGCGGCGTCTACTCACACTGTTGACCGGGGCCGAGGCTGCAGGGAGGGAGAGAACAGAGGTCAGAGACACTGCGTCAGAGACAGAACAGAACAGGGCTGACAGTGATTCTGAACACCATCACATGACAGGAGGTCAGGAGTCAGCTATAATCCAAACAGACAGAGAGCAGTGGAGAGATGAAAGAGAGAATCAACCTCAACTCACACAAAAGGAACAGAGGAGCTTGCTAGTATGCCAGTGGGTGCTCAGTGAAAAAATCTACACATTTGATTAGCCTATAGCTTAGCCTATAGCCTTGTGGTTGCTTGATTTAACTAGAAAAGTTGACCATCACCCAACTAACTGCAAGCTATGAGGACAGGACACATCTTGAAAATTCTAAGTTGAGTAAAGGTGATGTAGCATAGGTCTCTGGCCTCACTGGACTACACCAATCAAACCCAATGAGCTGACCAACTAAGAGCAACCATATACACTGAGTGTACAAAACATTAAGAAAACCTTTCTGATATTGAGTTGCACCCCCTTTTGCCCTCAGAACAGTCTCAATTCATCGGGGCATGGACTCTACAAGGTGTCGAAAGCGTTTCACAGGGATGCTGGCCCATGTTGACTCCAATGCTTCCCACAGTTGTGTCAAGTTGGCTGGATGTTCTTTGGGTGGTGGACCATTCTTGATACACATGGGAAACTGTTGAGCGTGAAAAACCCAGCAGTGCGGCAGTTCTTGACACAAACCGGTGCGCCTGGCACCTACTTCCATACCCTGTTCAAAGGCACTTAAATCTTGTGTCTTGCCCATTCACCCTCTGAATGGCATACATACACAATCCATGTCTCAATTGCCTCAAGGCTTAAAAATCCTTCTTTAACCAGTCTCCTCCCCTTCATCTAAACTGATTGGAGTGGATTTAATAAGTGACATCAATAAGGGATCATAGCTTTCACCTGGATTCACCTGGTCAGTCTCATGTTCTTAATGTTTTGTACAATCAGTGTAATCTCATGAGAAGTTGATGCAGAGTCTCATTGAGCAACAATTCTAAATGCAATTGCGTGTTAAAAACTGTTTTGGTGCATGATTATTTTTGTTTCTCAACTGGTAATTGAAGCGCGCCTCCCATTTTCCATTCAAGTGCAAGCAACAGGCTATCAGCGTCACCCACCACTATACAATGTGAGCTGGAGGCAGTATGCATTTTGAAAATACTTAATTGTTTGAAACCTGAATGTTTTATTTTATATTATGAGGCATGTCTACATAAGGGTGCCAACTTAAAAAAACTCACAAAAGCTCTGACAAAGGCCTTGAGGCAGATATGTAAAGCTTATTAAAGAGCAGTGTGGGGGTTTCTTCTTATTTTGCATTTATTTTCTCATATTATGAGGCATGTCGTAACTTGCTTCAAAGTAGCCTACAAGCAAAATCTGACCATGGAAATGTGGAGGCAATGATTTTATAAATCAAACAAATTGTATTGGTCACATACACATATTTAGCAGATGTTATTGCGGGTGTAGCGAAATGCTTGTATAAAGACTTCATAGGCATGAGGTTCAAGTTTGAGGAGGCTTACAATTTATCCTACCATTTCTACGTGTGAGTTATGATTTTCATTTGCGCATTTATCATAAAAATCTGAATTAAAATGATAAAAATCTAAAGGTTCAGTCAACTAATGCGAGATGACCAACCCCTTTGCCATATACACACACATTACTACACCGTGTTCCATTGGCGGCTAAAGAAATGAGCACATGGAACTCAGCCCTACAGGCCAATGCAGCAGTAGGCCTATAATTGCCATTGCTCTTTCACACACACCTTGGATTGGTGATTATCGAGGGGGAGATTGTTGGAAAGAGTTTTCAAATAGCTTACTGTGAGGAACTATAGTTTAAATATATTATAATAATTCGCAATGGATGTAAAAAACAACAACACTTTACTACATTTCTATGCAGCAGGCCAGAGACACCAGACAGACGTTCTCATTGCTCACATGGAGCTCTTCAAACAAAAGACAGACAATCAAAATTGACAAATCTCTTAAATGATGGTTATGAAATTAACCAAAACTTGTTTCTCACAAGTGTAGCTGGTTGTGAACTCTGCAAACAACTTCTCCACTCCAAGAATGAGAACGGTAAATGACTAATTAATACATGCATTAACAGAAATGTATGTAACCAAATGACGGGGATTAACAGTACATTTAGTGGTGTCATATGTAATGGGGAATTGAGAAAAAATATATATATCAAAGGGCAAACAATTCACACAATGAAACAATGAATGTGCAAGAATTGGCAGGAAACAGCTGAGCCATTCTGGAGATAAACTGGCCTATATCTTCGCCACACACCCATGCCCTTCTTGTCTCAACATTTTTTATTATACTCAAGATACATTCTCTTCACACATATTTTAGATGCATTTCACTGACAGACGCAACTCAATAATCAGCTAGGCCTATTGCCAAGGGTGCTGCCCAAATTGCGGGCTTCCCAAATAGGCATCGGCCTACCAGCCTGTGATTTGAAACAAACCACAGCTATTTTCTTTTAAATAAGCAAATGATCCTCGATTCCTCTGTGGTCATGCTTTCTGGTGAAGTATTTGAATGGTTTATGTACCCAATGCATATGGGTCCAGGAAATTAAAATCTTCCGAGTCATGTTGTCCAGCGGCACATTTTCCTATCAGAAACCCTGGTTGGTACGTGCAAACATTTAAATACTAAATATAACCAATAGCAATCGTGTGTGTGTGTGTGTGTGTGTGTGTGTGTGTGTGTGTGTGTCTGTCCGTTAAGCCTTTGTTTGATCTGTGTGCTGTTCCAGCCTGTTGGTTTCTCTAGAAACAGGTGAAAACACATGTCTGTACTTCTACAAGCAGCAGGAACCACATTATTGAAGCACAGAATCCTCTCCTGTCTGTCAAACTATATAGAGCAACACACTCACATACCAGTCCAGGACTACTTCTGCCAAACAGTCAACCTTTAACACACAAGGTGGTTGCATACGCACTGCCCAGGCCGAGGGAAAAATGTTCTGATGTTTATAGACACACCAACCAACAGAGGGGCCTGCTGCTGTACTGGGACACAGTCTGCCTGCCAGGACAGAGGGGATTCTGGGAAGGACGGCAACTGGTGAGCTGACCCCCAACCTCCCTCCTCCAAGGAAACACCTCACTGTTTCTTCCCGATTACCATGGGAACACTGGTGTGTTGCCCAAACTTCAAAACAATAGTAAGGGGTAAAATAGCACACAGTAAAAAATTAATGAGTTTTTCCAGAAGAGAATGAAATATGTTCACACCCAGCAACTCACCCATTCAAACCCTACTGTACAAACAGACAGACACACACAGCTTAACTCATAGGTTACATAATGGGACCTAACAGAAGCTTTTGCGTTTCAGAGTTGGGTGGCTTTAGCCTATACATTAGTGTTGGGGAGCATTACAGCCCTTTCATTTTCTATCAGCAGCCACACAAGTTAGTCTACTGTTACTGTACCCAGCCGCAGTCACAAAGAGCTGGAGGTGGCACCCTTATTTGCAGATTTAACATAATCTGACATTTCCAATGGTTCAGCAGCCGCAGCAGAATCACAGCCTAGCAGCACAGTCATGCTGCTTTATGTAAAAAAGCTTGGGGAGTCAGGGACAGTGTTTGGGTTAATGGGGGTACAATATTGGGGAGCGTCAGCTGAGCGTAGTTCAAATGTTTTTCTGCAGCAAAGAGAGCCTTTGAAACAGTCCCACTTTGTTTACTGTGCTCCACCAACACTCTCTTTCTCCCGTGATGACGTCACATAGCCAGCTCCCTACTGGCCTGTGCTCTCAGCCTCCCTTCCTCGCTGTTCCTCCTCCTGTTGCCCTTTTCCAGTCTCCCCTTCCCCCCCTCTCCTCCCTCTCCCTCCTCTCCCTCTCCCTCCTCTCCCTCTCCTCCCTCCCTCCTCTCCCCTCTCCCTCTCCCCCTCCTGCCCTGGGCCGGCCGGGCTGCTGACTGCCTGACTCACAGAAATTAGAAACCCAATATTGTTTGTACTTTTCCACTCAACAACAGAGTGAAGAAAAAATGCTAAGCATCCGATTCCTTTCCCTGGCCAAGTCTCTGCCTTGCTCATTTGTGACGTGCAACACCTCCCTCCCTCCTTCCCTTTCCCAACTGACCCAATTGCACATGTCCGCAAACCTGTGAGCTGCTTCCACTTGCTGTGTGGCCTATCACTATACTGATTTACTACTGCATTGACTCACCCAACACCCCATTTCACATTCAAATCTGAATGCAAACGCATAGTACGACCTTGTGATGGCAAGTAAACGACCAAGCCCTTCCGAGAGTGCTTTGTGATCTTTCCAAGAGGAGGTTCTAGAGAGGAAAGGACTCTCAATGGTGTGTATCTGCAAAACTAATAAAAGTGATTTCTCTTGCAGATAACAGCCCTCCAGGCAGAGCTAGCAGAGTAGCTACTGTGTTGAGTGGAGATGAACCAGGCCACATATGCTCATCATGCATAGCGTGCCAGAGGTCCACTGTGAAAGAGAGGAGACCATGCCTGCAATTAAGAGAGCACCCAGCGGGATTACACAAGTATTAGAGCAAGCAACTCCACCTTGTCACTTTAAAAATAGAGCCCTGCCCAAGGCCCTCTCACTTCCGCTCTAAGGACAACCAGGAACAATCAAACGAACACACACGCAGTATGTGTATGACTGCATGAGTGAGAGCTAAATGTTTACACTTACAGCACACTGTTGTAGTACTGAAGCGCTATTCTAGAAATGTGTCTGGACATGTCCAGATTCCAATGCGTGTGGACTGGCCTCCTTTAGGTCCAAATAATCCAATACACAATTCAGATGCAACACTGTAGTAAATCTCACCAATTACTCAAATCACACATGCAACATAATACAACTGAAATGCATTCCCAGTGTTTAAAAGGGACATGGATAATCCTGCTGTAACAAGCAGACTGATAGCAGGGTGATCTGTACTAAGGCATGATTATAAACCTGCCAGTTCACTGCCTAGTGCCTAGCATGATGATCACAGAGCCATTTTGTTATAATGAGTGTTTTGGCTGAACACTTGTGACTGCAGAGGAGCTGAACTGAGGACAGGCTGAGCAGGACAGGGTACATCCTGGAACATTAAATATAGGGGGAAACAGAATGAAAGAGAGAAAGAGGGAGAGAGCGCGGGAGAAAAACATTTTGGCAGGGTGGCATAGTGACAGTTGCTGAAACTAAGCCTTACTCCTCATTGTTCTGAGTGAGAGGCCCGATGGAGAGTTGGCAGCCAATAGAGGGGGGGGCAGAGGGGTGAGGGGGCATTCATTAGAGAAAAGAGAGAAAAAAAAAAAAAAACTGTTTACCCAACGGTCAGCTTGCTTTCCTACTGAGCATTTACAAGGAGCCAGCTAGCTACTGTAGCAGATTGAATTACAGGCCGTTAAGAGTTTCATATTAATTACCCTGTTTAGTCTGATTTACAATTAGGGTTCTAGTAGCAGTGTGACAATTGAAAATAAAGCACCACTAATTTGGCTTGCTCCACATTAAATGCGATTTACGGTCATTCCAGTGTCTCCATTGGCCGCACAGCCTTTACTGCGATGGGGCCTCTGCAGAAGTCAGGGCATGCATGCTTCTTGCACGGCTGGATTGAGAAGTTCCTCAAATCTAACGAACACACTACACGACAGATAATTATTAGATCAGAAAGCGGTTCTCAATATTATAAATTCTTAACTGGGCCACTTAGGTCTTGAGGAAATATAAGGAGAAAGCCAGAATGGGCTTAGTCATAGTCTAATGGGTCATCATCACTGCTCAAGAAAAGTGACGTGACCAATATTTACACCATGTGTGTATTTCTTGATAATAAAAGAAACAGATGCACTGAGGAGGCAAACAAGCACAGCTTCAGTAAAGACCCTTCCTGAAACTGTAACGTTCCAGTAGAGATGAAGCCGATGAGTAAGGTCAACAGGATGGAGCACAGGCCATCTGATGTGATCTGTGCTGTATACCAGTCTAATAATGGGAGTCAACACGAAGACAGATCAATGAGGAAACATTAGCCATCCCAGAGGATGACAGAGAGACAGACAGAGGCAAGAGAGAAAAAGAGAGCAAAAACAGAGAGCTTGTGCAGACACATTTACCCACACAACAAGCACCTGGCGCCCTCACAGAGAGACTCAAGGGAGAGTACTTCCCGTCTGTGTGTCTGTAATCGGAGTCTGTATCTGCAGATGCACATCAGGGCAACAGGCCCCGAGGGACAAAGAGCAGCCAACCAGTACAGAGGTCAGGACGAGAGAGGGGAGAAAGAGACCACTCACTCCTCTCCTACCTGCACACAGATCAAACTAGACCGGGCACAACTGGACCAAACATCTCCCCATCTGGCTACCACCTCCACCCTTCCCTACTTCCCCCTTTCCCCCTTTCTGCTCGGATTAAACCAATGTGTGGACGTCCAAGAGAATAAGTAGTCTTAATGGCTGTGTTTCATGTAAGCATGTGTAAATACAGGAGCGTGTGATGTGTGAGGTAGATGAGTGTGTTGTTTGCCAGGTATGGTATGTAAAGGTCATGTGTGTGCTGGGCTGAGTCTCAGTGGGGGGGGGGGGCTCTGTGACGGGGGTACTCACAGCTGCCACTCCACGACTTGAGCAGAGACTTGATGCTGATCTCAAAGAAGACCGAATCCTGCAGGCTCAGCATGACGCCAGTGAGGGTTGTTGGTTGTTACAAAAGGCACCAGTTTCACAGGCCAGTCCTATTAAATGTTATCCTCGAAAACACAGACCGCAAACTCCGTCCTCGCTAGCCCAAAAATACACACTTCCTCTCCCCCAAAACACACACACCTCTCCTCCTAACAGACAGGAGCCGAGTTCTACCCTCCAGAGGAGCTGGATATAGGAGTCATGGTGAACATCAGAACAGACACCAATCAGCCGCTGTGTGCAGAGAGGCCCATGGGGAAGTGTCAGGCGGTTAGCTGGGTTCAGTGGTGAGTAAAACCACCCAGAGAGACACGGACAGAGGAGAGCGTGAGGATCTTTAGAGCTGCATTCCATCCAAACGTCCGCTCGCTAGCCAATCCACAGAGTCCATCATCCCGCTCCCAGCACAGACAACACTGAGGTGAATGAATACCGTAGGAAAACTTTCCTCCCGTTGTGAGAGGGGAATGGGAAGCGGAGCAGTACGCTGAAAAAAAGACTAGTCTCGGCAGAGCACAGCAATATTCCCTCTCCTCTCCTTATGTGTCGAGTCCTAGCCTGCTACTACTAGCACTATCAGCTATTCTCCCCATGTCGCTCTCTCCCTCTCCATTCGCTTGCGGACAACCCCTCCCCAACTAGCTCTTGTTCGCTCACTGATGCTTGCTGACACGCTCTGTCGGGGTCCTCTCTAGGGGAGGGGGGGTTGTTTCAAAGGGGTGATGGATGGGGGGGGGGGGGTAGAGGTGATGTCATCAAAATGCTGCGAGTGTTCCTTGGCTGTGGTCCAGCACCGCTGCCTGGTCCAAAACTACACTTCCTGTTCTCTCCACAGTAATACTGATGCGTCATCCCCGACTGCAGTATATAGAGAGAGGAGAGAGAAGAGAGAGAGGAGAGAAGAGAGAGAAGAGGGGAGGAGCTAGAGAAGAGAGAGAGAGAAGAGATGAGATAGACGAGCGAGAGATAGAGATCTATCTCCCTATCCTCGGACCTCTCAGATCGATCCGGAGCATGCACATCTGCAGGAGTACGCGCTCAGAGCTACTCCTGGGAGAGATGGAAGCGCGCGCTTCATTCGTGTGTTGAGCTCTGGTCTCTACGACCAGACTCGAGAGAGAGGACGAGCTAGGAGACATAGATGCAGAGGGATCGGCCAAGAGGGGAAGAGCGAATATGACCACCAGAGAGCATCATAAACCAAAAATCAACTCTATTCAAACTCCATTCAGCACTTTTCCAACACAAACAGGAAATGATTTTTCTAAAAATACTAAAAATGTTCCACCTATAAAAATGTATTTTGCACATACACCCAAACACCAACACAGAGTAGCCTATGCTGCCCAGAGTAGCCTATGCTGCCCAGAGTAGCCTATGCTGCCCAGAGTAGCCTATGCTGCCCAGAGTATGCTACTGGACATATTGGGGCGTTTCACCTTTCACCTGCCTGGGGCACAGAACATGGCACACTGACACCCACTGCAGCTGCAGCCCACATAGAACATGGCAGGATGGATAGAAGGATACTTAATCCATTTGGGACAACAACAAACTGACACACCCATAGGAGTCATAGGATTA